AACAAATAGGCTTTAACAAGGCTTTAATAAGCTAAACAATAGAGGTACATGAGAAAACGTGTTCATAATGAACGAAAATAAATAAATAATTAAATTGTGTCCGTGCTGGTCTCAAACCCTGGTCTCCCACTCCCAGATCCAATACTCTACCCATTACCCTATTGGAGACGTGTTGTGAAATGAGCTGCACATTGCACAACAACAACCGTGACGCTTTTTATACTGAGGAGGTGGAGTTTCACCTRGGGGTTGCTAGGTAAGGGGCTGAACGCAGGTTCCGGTGGGTTGTCGTACGGCTTGTGACATCATAAAATGACGGAAGTACAAAACTTGTCATTAATACACATTAAAAATATATTTACTTACAGTAAATATGCCCCTGGGTGCATTTTTTTGGTCCTAGGACTGTTTTTTTAAGAAGTACATACCCAAAGTTGAGTAAAAAAAAATACCTTTAAAAAGTGAATTTTGCATAATAGGTCCCCTTTAAAAAAATTACCTGGAGCTGCTGATTCTTTTCCTCTAACAACCGAATCTTCTGAATGAAGTTATTTTCCTGTACCCGTCTCTCTTCAGCTTTGGTCTTTTCAAGCTCATCATATTTGATTTTCTGTTCATTTAACTGCTTTGTCAGATCTTGTATGCCATTCTCCAGGTCTGCAATCTGTTTAAAAAAATTAAGATGTCCAGCAAACTGTTTTATAACATCAGTAAATTAAAGAATTGGTGCCCTCTGGTGGACTTGCAACTTAATTGTGTATTGTGAAGTGGTCAAACTGTAAATGGATATTTTGTCTTYAGTCATGACAAATAACTTACCCTTTTCTCTAGGTGTATTTTTTCAGTCTCAGCACACATTGCCTTTCTCATGCCGAAACCAATGCTGCTCACATACAATGTATGGAAAGCATCGAAGGTCATATTTATTTCATCTCTGACCCGCAGCAGCAGCAGACCCATCTCAGCACACATGATGGTGACCTGTCTGATTAGCTCGTCTTAAAGACATTTAAAAATAGAATTGAGTTCATGTTAATGTCAATCAGCTCCATCTTTATAGATCTGAATGTATGAATGTTGACGTATCCTCAGCATCTTAACCTTACCGAAACACTGACTGAAGAGCTCCCTGCGAACAGGACAGATGCCCGTTGGTCTGGCCTTTCTTTCCTGGAGCTTTGTGTYCAGGAGTTCCCTCAGGCGTAGCACATCTGCTCTAGTACAGGGTACACTGGACACTTTCTGCACGCACAATTCGTTTCCCTCTGTCCATTCCCTGCATTACCAGAGGTTCACAGGTCTGAAGTTAACATACAATTTGCTTTAGAGCAGGGGTGCCCAAACTTATTCCCTGAGAGGGCCAAAATGAAAATCTACTCGAGGGCTGCAGGCCAWATGCAGTACTATAATRGAGAAAATGCATATACTTACAAATAAAGTCMTTTTACTTTTTATGATTTAGCCWAGAGCCAGTGCAGTGGCTCACATTGTGTTTGTGTTTTTTTATCCGTACACTTGCTCGGGCAGCAAAGGCTCAGGGGACATTTCATATGTTGATAAAATTTGAGTATTTGTAGTCTTATAAAGTTTTAAAATCTACATGTGTGCTTAAAACTAATGTAAATATCTTCATTGGTTTATTGTATTTTATATTTACCGTAATCTTAATATAATTCAGCGGCAAAGTCAGCTATCTGCTACAGTCCCTGTTTTAGTCATTGGGCCATTGGATGTAATTACTGCACATGGAAATACAGTTACTACAGAGGATGACAGGCAATTAAAAACCACTGGCGGGCCAAATCAAATGGCTTGGCAGGCCCGCGGGCCCCACTTTGGGCACCTCTCCTTTAGAGGAAGACAGCTATACCTGGGTGGATGGATCCTGTCCAGGATGTTCTCCTTTTTCATCTCTGGGGCATATTTTGGTTTAGGAGGAGATGGAGTGACTGTGGAGTCGTCAGAGGACTGGGAGCTCACTCTCAAATGTCCCTGTAATAAATTTTCTGTTATTATACATATATTTACTCAACTTTAATGTAAACTCCTGTGGATGTATCTAGCAAAACAATGTTCATATGTGAAGCTCCCCTGACTGAGCATATATACACTCACCGGCCACTTTATTAGGTACACCTGTCCAACTGCTCGTTAACACTTAATTTC